CCCGGTCATTACCTACGACCGACTTCTCGCAAACAGTCGCCCGTCTTCATCTTGTCAAAGCCCAAAAACGCTCACATCTCCTACCGCCCAGAGCCCTCCTCATCTGCGCGATCTCCCCGTCCTTCGCCATCTCCACGTCCTTCGTTCCCCCGTCCTTCTCCGTCGGCAGCGTTGCCGTCTCCCCGGCTCGACAATGCGGCCACGAGGCGCGCCAAAAAGACTTTTCGCGGCTCGATACTCATCCTCGTGCGGTGGATGATCAGCCACTTCCGTCGCTGCGGGACCATGCGCGGGTCGTCTAGCTCGTCGGGGAGCGCCGTCGGAATGTCCGCGTCAAAGAGAGTTACATCCTGAGGGGATGCCGGGTTAGTGACAAAGAGGCATGCCTGGCTGCTATTAGCATAATGCTTGGTCGGCACTGTAGTGGAGATACATACTTGGTACGCGGTGTTGTGGCGCGCGTGCTTGCGGTAGTATTGGCGCTGCGCGATGGAAAGTAGTATAAACAGCACGTATGAATCCTCCGACCAGTCCCTCGGCGTGATCCGTTTTAGTCTTGCAAAGGAGTCATTATCACGCTGTCCCGGACGTAGTTTGCGCCTATTTCCTTCACGCCGTGCTGAGTTGATTAGGCAGTAGACCATGTATCCTGCTCATGGCAGGTCACGGCACGCCGGATACTGTTCCACCGGCCGAACAAAACGTACGGCGCACCGAGAATGGTATGCTTCCCTATACGTAAGGGCAGCCGTGCTCTGCGTCCCGTAGTCCCGTTAAGCTGTGATGCACAACGTTCCCCCACGCGTGTCGGGCCTGGCTTACCTGCACCATGCATAGAGATTGTCGTCGTAAGGTATATTCACAAGTAGTATAAATGGAGACACTGCCCTGTCTACGTCGACGCGGACAATCTTCTGTATACGCCATGCGGTAGGCAGCCCCGAATGCGCAACCGGGTCCAGGCTGTTGACGATGCAGGCCATGTCGTTTGCAGCGTTTGTTGAGGCAGGTGGAAAGCAGAAAGGAAGTGTCCAGCGTGCCGAGCCACCAACCTGGCGTTGGTTGCGGCGCAGTCGACATTTCTCGTGCGGGAGTATGTTGAGGTCGCCTCCAGGAGCGGCCGCGGATAGCTTGAGCTGTATGGACTGTATATTAAAGCACTTGTGTCAGCCAGCCGGCAATTTCTTTTGGCAAAACCCCGCTCATCCATGTCGCCGATGTTGTTGGGGTAGTACGATCTACGCCTTGGCACCAGAGTTCCCCAACTGATACGCCGGCTTTTGATGGTAATAAGTCGTCATTACAAAAGCCGTCGTGACTCATGCCTTCAACGAAGTTCGGAAATGTCGCTCACGGACGCCGGCGCATTGATGGAGGGCCTACTGCGACGACTACTGAACATCGATAACGGAGCTACAGATATGGTTACTCTTTTTATGTGCCATGGCGTGCAGATTCAGGCGGGGACTTTTCAAGAGTTGTTGGACGTGTTACAATCAACAGATTTCTGCAGCGACAAGCTTCGCGTGCTGCGTCGCCATCCCAAAATCCTTAAGGTGTTGCATCTAGTGCACTCGCAATACTGCAATATTTCAGAAGCGAAACGAGGAACTCTTGTAAAACATTTTATGCGACGTGTACCGAGTGAGGCGATAGGTCTGGTCCATCGCATGCCACAGCAGGATCTCGCTCTCACAGCTCGAGGTGTGGAGATGGTCTCCGCAAGATAAGCTCTATGCTAACTAATGTCTTCTACCTACACTGGATTCAGCCGGCTGACAATTTGACGGCAGGTCACAGTGCTGGCTTCGCGGCATCGCAACTAGCAACTTGATCTCACTATATTGAGAGCTAGATCAAGTTTTGCCGTATAAATATGTAATCGTTTCTGAGAGTCGACCCCGTGCTTCCTGGTGAGTCTTCGTAGCCCTACCTGTCGCCAGCTACTAGATTCGCTGTGCCAGCCAGTTTCTTGACCAACCTCTCCTAATTCGATTCATACTGCTCTAGAATTGGTATTAGCGCTCTCGGACTCTCAAACGCTGCCGTTGCTGAGGTAGTCCAAACAACTGACTGTGCACAGTCCGTACCTTGGTTCAGATAGAAGAATCTATACGAATGACAGCAACAGACTCGTCGAATGGCCTAATGAGCTCGGAATCATCTTTGGAGGTCAAGGTATGGTATATGTAGTTCATAAAAGGTTAGACTACTATCGTTCAGGACTACCACGTCATGGTCATCACGTCCAAGGTCACCCCGTCCAAAACTGTCACATCCGACACTATCACGTCCGAGACGACCCATCCGAGGCTACCACATCAATGATGTGGACGCCATTTTCTAACTGCGTGTTTAATGTATGACAGCATCAGGGTGAGGAATCAATCCACGACATTGTTCATTTTGATTGACGATATGGATGGATTGACCGGTCGGCCGGTATCGCAAGAAAACGACGCTCTGCTGTAGGGTAGGAGGCTTAGGTAGTTCGCTGGAGGCGAAACTAGTCGGCACTATCCACTAATTACAGTCCGGGGGCGCGTTTCGTCGCGTCCTACGACGCGTTGCCCTTTTAGGCCACCTGCAACACGAGGCGGCTGGCAGGCCGAGCCAGTAATCACCAACCTACGCTCATCGCTACGTGCGGAAATAATCCAGGATGTTGGCAATATACTGCTGGACAGGGTTGTATCAATGAGCTTGAGGAGGATTGCTCAACGGAGTAGTTTCGTGGAAGAGACGGGGTTACGGGTTTTCACGATGGCTTTAAAATTACTCAATTAGGAAACCGGGGTGGAGACGACATGGGTCCTCAATATCATGGCCATCAACCCACGGGAAGGCTTCGTGGACTCAACCCACGACAGGGCTGCCGAGTAAGCTGTCAATTCCATCCAGGGCAAGCACTCGTGGACGTGGGTGGATTGATTCCTCACCCTGGACAGTATCATGCTTAGTTAGATGACAGATGTTGGCCTTGTTATAATTGGTTGATGGTACCTTACTCTCGAAACACCTGTCAACGGGGAAATACTTTCTTGAAACTAGTTCTGACACTGTACAAGGTGGAGGCTTGATGGGCGGAATGCCTCAGTATGCCATAGTCACCGCTGACCCTAAGAGCCAACCGCTGGCAAGAGATAGATTAGTTGCCATAGCTGAGCCTAATACCCTACGCTTATGAAGACATGATTTGGTCATTATGACAGTTTCCAGAAACTGCGCAGTATAGAAGAATATACCGATGTACTCTGTCTCGGAGCGCAGGCTCGTCGAACCTTAGCTCCCTCGTAATGTCGCGGTTTGAGCCCTACTGGTCCCATCAGCTGGGCGAGAGCATCGGCGAGAGGTTGCCACTGACGAATAGAACAACTAATGCGAAGTCATTTGAGAAATTTAGTCCTGTCTATCCCACAAAAAACATTTCTGTTTTCGGGTACGTTATGTCATCGCGTCAGCCTATGAGAAGACTAGTCCATATATGCCGAAAGACGTACGTTACGTAAGTGTCTCTGCTTGATACTGTATATAGGGTTACATTAGCGCCTCAGACAATCTTATCCCTTGGCGACAGATATACACGTATGCGTCTCCGCTTCATACTATATGATGGGGTTACATTAGCGCATCGGACGACTTGTCTGTTTCTTGCCGTGAAATCTACACGTGTGCATCTTTGATTTGACACTCTATGACGGTGCTCTAAAGCGCATGATTCAAACAGTTATTTCTTGCCGTCGAACATACACATGGGCGTCTCTATGACGGGTTCCATTAGCGCATTAGACGACTGATCGATTTCCTGCAGTCAGATATACACATGACCGTCTCTGCCATGGTTTGGCTATTGAAAGCAGCATTCGAGATGGCATCCCCGTCCAGCTACTGTCACATTATAGCCGTCCGTTATCGGGCTTAATACTCCCATCGAAGCACAACATCACTTCTAGCCATGAAAGCCGAGTTAAAAAGCTTTTTTGCGAAAGTATGTCTCAGATTACTAACATGTAAAGGAATGTTGTAGTGGAAAACGACATGGCGTGCTATAACTAGCATTCATCGTAATGGTTGATGCGTCATGATTAGGCGTCTGTGTTGAAGATAAAGTAATATCTCCTACGTATATAGTACTTAAGATGTCATTCCATTTCTCTAACGAGCAGAGAAAGAGATTTAAGCCCTGCACATGTCTTCTAGTCAGGATACATCATGGAGTATTAATATACCTTGCAGCCGATATTATATAGAAGGCTTCGCCAACTGCATCCTTCTCCTAAGTTACTAGCTTATTTACGAACTATGGGCCTTTTATGTTCAGCTAAGGAACAGACCGCGCAAAGCTTCCATTATACAACGGTCTTTTAATGGCTAAGATGAGTGGTTAATGATGGCCATCTTAGCCATTAGAAGACTGCTGTATAATGGAAGCTTTGCGCGGTCTGTTCCTTAGCTATATATAAAAGGCCCACAGTTCGTAAATAAGCCAGTAACTTAGGAGAAGGATGCAGTTGGCGAAGCCTTCTATATAATATCGGCTGCAAGGTATATTAATACTCCATGATGTATCCTGACTAGAAGACATGTGCAGGGCTTAAATTTTTTTCTCTGCTTGTTAGAGAAATGGAATGACATCTTAAGTACTATATACGTAGGAGATATTACTTTATCTTCAACACAGACGCCTATATCAGGCAGCGAGGTTGGCCAATCGAGGTCTATAACATAGCCTGCCACTTAGTTCCTCAATGCCAATACAGAACCATCGGCTAACGATTCGTCTGAGTCGCACAGAGTCGTCATACATACGACTTTGACGAAATGGCCGACACCGAGCCGTGATGCGGGAAGTCCTAAAATCTCGACTACAAATTATCGCAACGATTGGAGGTACAACACCTAGAGAAAGTCAAGGGGCTGTGGAACTGAAGGCAGAGGCGCATCTTATAGAACACGATATGGCAATAGTAACAATCGCAGTAGAGAACCGAATCGGGATAAACACGGCGAGGCCACGCGAAACAACCGGTTGGCGAGCCTAGGGAGCCCTGGCAGCCGCGCGGTTAATTGGGAGGCAGAGTCTGCAGGACACTATGATACAGAGGCTGCTGCTCATTAAGAGCATAATGCCATGGAACCGGGCGCAATCCGTATCTACACTGACGGAAGTGGCATCAATCGTTGGTGCGGCTGCGTTTGCTCTGGCCTCCAATTCGACACTATCAGTACGAAATGGATTCAGTACATGGGCACCTCCGACGTATCCACGGTATACACGGCAGAGCTTCGTGGACTTGTTCTGGCTCTGCAGCTGGTACTCAACGTGCACAAGACAGGAGACAATCCCGGCCGGTGTGCCATTTTCACCGACAACCAGGCGGCACTTCAGGCCCTCCAAAACCCAAAATGTCCATCCGGTCAGTATATCCTCATCGAGGCGGTACAGGCCCTGGATGAGCTTCGGCGCCTGAAATTGAGCATCCAATTTCGGTGGATTCCCGCACATGTCGGAGTGCCTGGAAATGAGGCTGCCGACCAAGCAGCCAAAGAAGCCGCGGATCCAAATCTGGCGCAACCGGACACCACGGTACTCCGGACACTCCTAGCCACGACAAGGACCAATATTCGACAAGCGATGAAAGCATAATGGGCCCAAGCCTGGGCAGACGACAAACACGGGCGCGACCTTTTCAACCTCGGCGTCCGGCCCGGCAAAGCAACACTCTCCACACACATCAGAACACACAGAGCCATCAGCTCAGTCATCACCCAAATGCGCACCGGAAAGACCGGCCTCCGTGCATACCTGCACGGAATCAATAGGG